TGTCTATACATTTAATAAAATACAAAAATTAAAGTTTGGCTTTTTATTTCAATTCTTGATACAAAACAGTGTTAGGCATGTTTTAATTATTGGGATCCTTAACCTGAACTAGTGTCTAAAATAATAGTCAATTAATTATTACCTTTTAATGATAGAAACTTTGGCCTAGTGAAACAGAGCAGTTTTTTAAAAATATTAATATCTCCATCAAATTTAAATTCATAATTGTAAACTGGTGTAACACTTTGTTTGAGAAGTTGATTAAATCCACGATGAAACTCTTTAACAAAAAATATGTCACTGAACATCTGAAAAAAAAAAAAATGTAAATATATATCTATAGTCTAAAGTATACTTCATTGATCAGTAATAAGAACATTTTTTTTAAAAATCAACTTGTCGAAATTCAAATTCCAAAAATTAAATATGAACTAGCTCACATTCTAATTAATAGTTTTCAAAGTGAACTTGATCATGTTTAATAAATTAAAATAACAGTGAATTATTTATACATAATATAATATATAGTCTTATTTATTTTAATAACTATATTTACCAAATACCTAGTGAGTTTACTTTAAGTATGCATACATTTTATAATATAAAATATAAATGTAATACATTTTTAAAAAACGTTGGGAAAAGAGATAAAGGACAAATTTATTATAATGCATCTAATACATTCTATTATATAAATAAATAACTTATATTATTTAACTGTTATTTTAAGTCAATATAAAATATTAAAACAAGTAAATATATACATACGTGACATATATTTTCCAGCATATTTTTTTCACTTTCATGGGCATTGTCATTGAAATAAAAATTCTTTATTTTATTAATAACTTCTTCATTATATTTGTTCTCTAATAGTTTACTGATTTCTTCAGTCTTTTTAAAATCATTTATATCTTTCACTCTTTCTTCTAAAAATAAATTATAATCTATTTGTTGTAGGTAAACAAAAAAGTTATTTTCGTTTTTAAATTTTTAATTTATGGAAAAATACAGTTATGAATTAAAAATATTTAATTTGGAACACAGATTGCAAGCATTAAAAATCAAAAAGTATTTAATAAATTTTGATATACAATACGAATGAAACTAAAACGCCTTTATTTACTTTGTATCTCCGATATATTTATTTATAAGGTATTTAAAAATAGTACATGAAATAAATTTGATAGTACCTACATAATATTATAAGACAAGGTTAAGGATTTTGTAAAATTCCATGTATGTCCTTAGTTGTCTTGTATTTTAATACAATTAGCCATTTATTTGATAATTTAATTTAAAAATAATTTACCTCCAAATCCTATCAGTCCTTCCATATTATTAAGTCCAGTGATGATGGGTACTGGAAATATTGATTTAATTAAAACATTAGGATGAGCGGGGAAAAAATTTTCAATGACTTCATCACTCTCAACAGATGGAACAAACTCGTAATTTAAAACTTCCATATCCTCATCTTTCTGAAAATAAATATAAATGTATTAACTAATTATACAATATCACCATTTAAGTGTTATACAGTTAAAAAAATATATCAATTTTTAAAAATAATAATTTTCTTTTGGTTTTATTTGCCCATACCTACATTGGTACTTACTGAAATCAATTCATGCAGTTTTATGATAAAATTTCAATTATTACCACATAAGTACATATTCATATTCCATATCAATACAATATTTATAATTATAATTATTCAAATTTTAAATTGTTAAATATTAGTAGTCAGTAGATATTTATATGAAATTATATAAGAAAAAGAATGTATAATGTAAGTAAAGCATTTAAGTTTATAGCTATTTAACATTAGTAGTAGGTACTTGGTTAGTAATATATATTTTTGGTATTATTGAGATAAAGTGTTCTATAGAACATATTACATTTAATATTGATAAATGATTAGAGATGAAAGTTTTTCTTAAAGTAGGTATATTTTTTTTTTTTACTATCGTGTTTAGAGTGTAATATCACTATACAAAAAAAAGATTTATTTTAGTATACATACTTCAAATTTACTCTTTAGCTTGGAATATTCAACTAAATCATGAGCAGGAACACTGAGTAGGAATTGCACTATTTCTTTAGGGTCATCTTTTTTACACCCAAGTTTTTTAGCCATTTTAAAGGCCACTTCTTTATGTTTTTCATGGAAAGCCCACGGATTAAAAATACATCCACTTTGCATGATAGCTCTTTGAAATGATCCTACAGTTAAAAAAATATAATTATAAAATATAATTAATTGTCAATACAATTTCTAAAACTTTAGTCTCAAAATTTGGTAATAATGAGCCGGTTGCAAATAATTGAGGGATTATTACTAAATTTCAATTGAAATATAGACGTTCTTTTAAAGTCCTCTACTGTGCCTTCGTTCCAATTATTGAACATAGCTCTGTATTCTGAGATTCTCATACTGAGGTGGTCTGCAGGTAATTAGAATAAGTACAGCGCAAATTTCTTAAACATGCAGCTTTCTTCTTAAAATTGAGTACCCACCACATGTCATGATCCATCCTTCAAAAACTGAATTTAGTAAGCTCAGTCAACCGCAGACTTTCTGCCAATATTAGCTTCTTGTAGAAACTCCTCTTCAACAACATTGTTTGCCCGTTTTTACTTTTTAAACATAATTTTTATATTCTTTCTTGTATTACTCGTTTAATTAAAATTATTCCACTTTCTTTCCACTTTACTAACTCTAAACTCAATTAAATAAGTATCCACTTTATGTCTATTTCCAATAAAAACCCTATCTCTTTTGTTCTTATATTTTTTGTATCCTTAAACCAGCATTTTGCTCTTTTTCGAACCAAATATTATATATATATATATATATATTATACCAAACTTGTAGGCCTAAACCATGTTATAAATAAATTAGTAAATAAAGAGTCCTAAATAAGGTTTAGGCGGATTATCTTATCTCGGATGTGCGTAGGTAAATCAAATGAGAGGAATATTGAAGTAGTTGAATGAGGCCTGAGGGAAGGAACGAGAGTGGAAAGATAGTGTACAAACAATGAATACAACAATAAAAGAAAGGAGTAGGTGGTGGAAATTAAGAAAAAAAATAAAAACAATTTATAAAATATTTGAAAATAGAATCGTGTTGTATGTATACGATAGAGCAAGAAAACTTTGTGATGGGATGAGGAAGTTCAGTTATATAGAGTGACTAAGGAAAACCAATTTAAGCTATGACAGAAAAACAGGAGGAAATCATATTGGATAGAGTATGAATGATTGTGTAAAGAAGCTAAGAGCATCCTCGTGGTAAGCAAAACGATATCAAATGTGAAAATGAAAGTTATTGAATGGCTAAGATTTAAGAAAAAAAAAATATTTGTTAGTCTAAAATACATGAAATATGTACAAAAAAGTCAAATATAATATGTTGTTGAATACCGTCAAAATATCCAAAAAATAATATTTATATTTAAATTTTAAAGCTTATGACCTATATTTGCAGCTTAATTTTTTTTATCAAATAGCGACCAAGAAAAAACATGCATAGCCTCTAACTTACCATCCTATATAACCTATGCAGTGCATGTTTTATGTTAATAATGATTTTATTTTTACTGATATTAATAAATAGTGTTATAAGAATAATAAGAACATAATATATTATTTTAATAAAACATATAAAATTTTAAATACGTAACTAACCTTTAGATAATGGCGATAGTAGATGACAATGGACAGATGCTGATCCTGCACTTTCTCCAAAAATAGTAATATTATCAGGATCACCTCCAAATACAGATATATTTGCTTTTACCCATTTAAGTGCAAACAGTTGATCTTTCAAACCCATATTACCGGGACATTCGTCAATACCAAAGTTTAAGAATCCTAAAATATATATATTGTACAGACATTAGGGAATTCCTTATTATATAAGTAATGTGATCCCCTAAGTTTATTATAATGTGTATACAAATACTATAATATAAAACATTAATAAAACGTAATAAACAATTGGTTAAGTTTGACTCGTGCCCAATGCCCTCAGAATTTAAAACCAAGTTTTTATTGAAATAATCATATTTAATTTAAGTTTTATTTAATATATTTTTACTTTATAAGATTTATTAGTTAATTACCTCTGATAGTAAATATTGAATAACTATTAGACCTATTTTATTTTAAATTGCAATAAAATTCAGTTGTTGAATCAAATATTAATCATTTATTATTACACGTATCTACATAATCATAGTTACATAGAAACAATAGCAGGTATTTTGGGATAAAGTATGGGCTTTATCCCAAAATACCAATCAAAAATATTCCACTATTCATTGACAAATTAGAATGTTTGTATAATTGGCAAGCGTATTAAAACATGTTATAAGAACGAGATATAATTTAAATAAATAAAAGAGCTAATATTGGGGACGGGAGCAGCTACTGTTACAGGTGGGAAGTTGGAAAGGTAGGTTAGATAATTGTTTAATTAATATCTGTTTGCAACGATATACCATTGCTAACAAAAAACGATTCGGAGCGAAATTTGGTAAGAAATATTTTAAAATATCGTAATTTTTACGATTTCCGTCAATATTTAATCTTAATAAAAAAATATAATGCTAATAATTAAACTCAAATTTGTTTTTTAGACCATTAAGTACAACTTATAATGTACCTTGTGTTAAATTTTCAAACATTTCTCTTAAGTCATGTGATTTTAATAACAGATACATACCAAATAAAAATACACATAAAAACACGAAAATATCTAAAAATAGTTGGAATGTTTCAAAACTTTGACGACATTTGCAAAATGCTAATATACGTATTTTATAAAATCTACAGGTTTCTACAATAATTTATGACCGATTAGTAACAATACACCTAAATGTTGTACACTTTGCCTTTGATTTTTTATGTTTTTCCCCGGTTTTTCGTAATTATCAGGAAAACTGTACGGAAAATCGAACGACTTTCTTACTCACAAACTTGAAAAAAATTTTTTTTTGAAAATATGATTTAATTGAAATTTAGAAAAATATTTTTGGTAAAAAAGTATAATCTTAACAATTTCAAATAACAAAATTGTTGTGTAATAAATGGAGAAATCTTATTTTTCGTCGTTTTAGTTTTTCGCAATTATTATAAAAACTCCTTTGGATATCAAAAAATGAATCTTTCTGTCAGTGACTAGATATTAAATGAAATAAAATCGATCTCTCGTCATTTTTTGGTAGGAGCAATATTTCTGGTAAAAAACATAGTTTTCCAAAATTAAAAACAATGAAATTGGTAACACTACGACGCGTTGTAAATATTTACCGTTTTCCCTATAAGATTTCGGATTTCGATAATTTTCAATTATTATGAAAACTAAGGAAATCAAAAAATGACAATGCAACTTGACAACATTTCCTTTCACGAAAGATGCTACACTCTATACATAGCAAGATTTCTGGTAGAAAAAAAGCATACATCATAGTAAAACCAATAGATCCCTCGCTACGGACCGAATCGGTAAAAATTAAAAATGATTTTTAAATAAAGCTTAAAGAATTTCACAATGATAAAAAAAAAAAAAAAACAGAAAAAGAATTCACTTTAAATCTTTCGAAAGAATTGATGATTTGTGATAAAAATAATTACTCTGTCAAGGTATATATATATATATATATATTTGTATTTTTTTTTATTTATATCTATCACGTTTTTATAAAATTATGAAATAATTTGTATAGTAATTATTTAATATTAAATGTACTACCTATATTTAATCAATGATTTTAATATTATCTGCTTTTTCAGTTTGTCACTGCATTGGTACACGAATCTCAGTCCAAAATTCGTCCACCAAATACTTGCAGACAATTTTCAGTCGTACATGAAAGCCCGCAAAAGACGGTATATTCCGAAGCGACTACCTCGTTTGCCCTACGGTAGCTTCGTCATTGTATAAATGTTTCTATACATTGTTTAAATTATATTGTACGAAGTAAAAGTGACAATGTAACTTTAATAAATTAACAAATTTAAAAAAAAAAAAAAAATGATGTTTTGAAAAAAATTTATTTTTGGACTCTGGACACTTTAGGGCACAGAAAAAACCTCACCGAATACTTTGAATTAGATATACTTAATTTGTATGTATATCGAAACTAATTTAGGATGATTGACCGAAAAATTTCAATATTGAACATTATAAGGACCACTCTAACTGACTACATATTATCATCTATGTTCTTCTTAAGATATATTGATGTATAATAGTAAAATGAGTAAAATGTATATTAACTTCATTGTATGTAGTTTGTCACAATATTTTCTGTTTGTAATTATTTTAAACTATTTTTTGTCTAAATGTTCACTTATAACTATATTATTTTAAAGGACCTCGGTCCGTATTACTGTTTATAAAATAAAACATTAATAGATTATAATTGTGTAAGATTGTTTTTTTTAGAATAAAACAAACTCACCTAAAACATTCAAACGGTAGTTCATTGAGACTACAATTACATTTTCATCAAGCAAGTAATCGGGGCAGTATAAATCTGTCGAGGCAGACCCAAGATTGAACGCCCCTCCATGTATAAACACCATGACAGATTTTTTTTCATCCGACAACACTTCGTCCTTTGGAGAGGCACAAAAAAAAATTAATATTGGCAACTACCACATCTTAAATAATCTTATGTTACAACCTGTGGTATAAATATGTTTAAGTATAAGCAATCTTCACTTCCGACAATTTTTTTTGTAAATAAAACATCATATTGTAAACAGGCGTTCCCTTCTGAAAAAGCTTTTAAAACGCCAGACCACCCAGGATGTTTGACAGGAGGCTAATAAAAAATAAAAGTTAAGATAGGTATTATAAGTAGTTCATGATATTAAAAAATTAGTAAGTACTTAATTATAATTTAAAAATAGGTACTTTAATGTGATATTAATATGTAAGTATGATTAACTAGTGAAGTTAATCACTTCTTTATAGTCATTTTTTGCTTAGGTAATTCGAATTAACTATTTTTATAATAAATTAAAAATATTTCTCACCTTGAATCTTAAATCACCAATAGGTGGTTTAGCGTAAGGTATGCCAAGAAAACTAACGTAAGGTTTTTTTGATACACACGTTTTGTAGTGAAGACCTTCTAATGTACCTTGCTCAATGACGACTGTCATTTTCTTTCGGGGCTGAAAAAATAATTTTTAAATTAATAACAAAAACAAACGGACATACTTCACATAATGTGTGAGCCATTGTTGTAGGTAAAAAGTTAGGAGAATATAGAGGGGAAATTTAATGTATATCTGTACGTAAAGATTAATCATTGCTAATGAAAAACGATTCCAGCCGGGTTAAAAAAAAAAAATTTAAAAAATAGATATCATTGTAAAATCAATGCATTCCTCAGTGTGTTCAGAATCTAATCAGTAAAAACTCGAAGTCACGGGCAACAGTTATAAAATTATATAATAAAAAATTACCTATTCAAAATTATTTAAGTAGTTTTTTTAGCTATTATTTTTTCAAACAATTCCTCCTCTCGAAATATAAAAATTTAGGTTACAAAACTGCCCACGGCCGAAGTTTCGGTAAAACAGCTATTTATTTATATAACTGCGGATTATAAACTAAAAAATATATATATTTGCTATAAATTACGAATTAAAAGTAAGGACCTATATTAATATACAAGTATAATAATCATAATAATAATATTAAAAAGAAAGGTAAGATAGTGGGGATGGGTACAGCCACTGATGTTGGTGAGAAGTTGGGAAGGTAGAACATAGATGAAAATTTAATATATATATATATATGTAAGCACCGATAAACCATTGCTTACGAAAAAACGATTCTGAGCGGAGTTCAGTTGATAGTGATGCTTTATTAACAATATATATGCAATTTTATAGTAAAATAATTAAATAGGCTTTATATGTTTTCTTTAATACAATTTGTTTAATGTTTTTCCTGGTTTTCCGTGTTTTAATCCGGTTTTTAACATTTGCTGGGAAACTCTTGGAAAAATCAAAAAATGACCTCTTTAAAGTTCTTCGCTAGTGAAATTTCCTTTTAGAAACATTGCTATCATTAAAAGTTGGATCAAAATTGCTGGTAGAAAAGTTTTGCGTAGAAAAAAAAACCCTAAGGTGAGATAGTTTATAGACAGAATGATCAATGATTGTTAGGAGTAAATATAGACGCGTAAATTGAATAACGGTTGGCGTAGGAAAAATGTGACGACAACAATTTGAGCAGACAATGGTGTATAGAATAGAGTGAAGAAATATCATAACAAATTTAATTAATTTTAATATACTCGTTTTTATTCAATTAGTTAATGGCAATTAACTAATAACTGTACCTACTTAATTCGATAAAACAAAAAAATGGTTACATTTTACAGTAAAATATAATATATTGTGATATACGACGATAGAATGTATGAGTAAACAATATTTATCGTCTATCGCAATGAAAAATAGTTTTTTAATCTCACATATTTGATTTTAGTAATAGATAATATGGATCAATAATCTTAATCGGCCGCGTTTATATAAATCATATATTTATTATAATTATTAATCACTGGTTACCCAACAAATGAATATAAATTTGAAAAAAACTAAAACTAACCCAAATATAGAGAATGTAGTATATTTCAAAATATAATCGGGAATAATTACCATAGTGACTATTATGTGACTTATATTTTAGTAGGGACATTCAGTACTTGTATACTGTAACAGTATACGTATTCAATTATAATGATATAGAAATTGATCCTTTTACAGCTATGACATAAACTTCCCGTGCCAATATTATTTTTTATTTCTATACAATATTTTAACATGTACTCGTATGTAAAAATACATAAAATTAACTGTATTATTATCTACATTTATCTGCATTTTTATTATGTACATTTTATTTTTTATTTTTTTATGTCTTACACATTATTTATTTATTATTTTTTTTTTTTTTGTATAATGTAAATAATCGTAAAAAGAGCAAATACTGCTGATGGTGCGCCACTGTTGTAAGCGGAAAATTGGGAAAATAGGATACATAAAGTTGTTTAATTTATATACATTAATATATATTATATATTATTTATTTATATACGATAAACCATTGCTAACGAAATATAATTTTGAGTTAATATCGATTTAAAAATTAAAATAGTATGATACAACATGGCACGACAGACAAAAAAAAAAGTGATCCGAACGTTTTACTTTTTTTTTCTTTTTCCCCCGGAGTCAATAGACAATAAAAGTCGTCCGGTCGTCCCGGCCGTCCATCATTTGTTCATCGTCAAATATATTAAATGCCGACTTAAAAAGTCTTCGGCGACATTATATTATAATGCACATTACCGCGGTTGTTGTTATTTTACTTTGTCTCTCGAAAATCCCTACCACGCCATCGCGCACATTGTGTCTAATAAGATATGATAATATTATATTCATAAAATATGCAAACGACGTGACATATAGCTATACCTACCTACCACCGGCTACTAACATGTAGAGGTATTATAATAATAATATTATTACTGTGCGGGTACACGACGACGGCGACAAGATTATAATGTATTATTTACACAAGAGTTTTACCACGTTTTTCGCGTATTATTATTGTAGTTTCTCGGTGGATATAATATATTATATAAACTCGCGTGGCGGTAAAACAAAGCGGGGGCAGTGTTCTACACTGGTGTAGGGTTTTGGCCGTATAATAGCTTAGAGTGTTTGTACACGCAGTTAAACGCAACGCGGTTCACCGCGTATACCTATAGGTATGTTTACACTCGTGCGCTTTCCTCTTCAATTTTCAATTTAACTTGCCTTTCAACATTCAATTCCACTTTCTCCAAGCACATGCCATTATTGAATGATTTAGATTCATGCTTTTTCTATTCACACAAGCTACGCCACAAAGCAGTCGTCTTCTAATTTGTTAACAAATATGTCGGATTCACACAATATACTTCTCGGTGTCAGTGCGACCTACTTAATTATTGCGAGTGCAAACAAAAAACGTAGGGAGAAACGTTCATTGTGGATTAAAAATTATTTAAAAACTAGAAATTACGGAATTATAGATGATTTGCAATTAGGTGGAGATATTTTGTTTTATTTTGTTTTTAGATATTATAAGTGATTTTGGTCTTCGGTTTCAGTCATTTCAACAATAACAAATAACCAAATGATCAAATATTTTTTAAAACAAATAATCAAAATTCAAAACGAAATCAAAAGAAGGCACAGCGTGACGAACGAATTGTCATTGAGCGCGGGAGACCTTGCGTTGTAGCATACGTCACGAAAAACCGCACAAGTGTAGCTTTATTTGTTAGACCTTATCCCTTATCGTCGACATGTTTATTAGTAACAACATTAATTATATCCACGTACACAGCGGCATGTTTGAGGGGGGGGGGCTTTCGCCCCCCCCCATCAATTAATTTGTGTAGGTATTTGCTGTATAAATATGTACGCAAATTTAATATTGCTAGAAAAGTGTCATCAGACACAAAAATAAAAACACTTCATGATTCAGAGTAGAATAGGTATAAGCTTGTGTATTACCTTGTGTATAATAATTTTAGTGTCGTCGTCCCCTCTATAATATTAAGTCAAATACGCCACTGCACGTACATTGGAATGTGGACTATAGTTTTCAATAATTGCACCCGCGACCATTGCGCATAGACACGCGAAATGTGTATACGTAGACAACAAAATAACATAACACCGTACGAAATATTATTAAACACAGGAAGGTTATGATCATTACGGTGTACATTAACGTACACCTACTCGCTCAATGCTGTATATACGCTACGATGAATCTATACTGACGGAGTGTATTATTATAATAATCATGGGCCGGGATGTTCCGGAAAAGTAACACGATCTCACATTAGTCTCGTTTCATTCGTTCGATCAAATTCATATCTCATCGTGATTTAGATGAAAATTATTATCCGGTTTCATAAAACCTCATCGTTCACGCGTATCTAACCCGTTCGTGAAAACGACTACCTAACCTAACCTTCCGTCTCGACAATCCTCCAATATAATAGCATAAATACATCTCGGAAAATCATTACAAATATGTATTTATCGGCGAAAATAAAATAAGAGTACTATATGTGTATTATACATGATAATTCGTGTTAGACAAATATCGGAAATATTATTATCAATTATGAGATTTCCAGAATATTTATTATTTTAAAGATAATTTCAGTAAAACCGTATAGATTACATTCAATCGTTTTATTTTTCCTAAACTTCTTGATCACAATTCCTCATCAGATTCATTTCGGTCGTTTCACATATTACACTTTTCGTGATATTTAATTTGTATCGGTAAACAACGATAAACCACTGCAAACGAAAAACGATTCGGAATAGAGTTCGGTTATACATGTTTTGACAGGCCGTAAATATTTACGATTTTTGTCAACATTTAATATTAAAATTGTTATTGAAAAAAAATACTACATTTTTTTTTTTACCACTAATTACGTTAATGGACCTCCGTTAAATTTTTAAGTATTAACAATATTTTATCTACAGAGTACCCATCATATAAAAATAACGTGAAATACTCACAAATTCAAATGTCTTATAAATATAGTTTGTTATATAAGTAGAATCTAATTTATTATTATTGTGAGATCTCTAAAATGGCATAATGCACACACAATACGATTTAATAAATAATTTTAATTAAATTATACAAATTAATTGAAAAATTAAGTTAAAATCACATAAAGTATAAAGCCGATATTAATGTACAATAAACGGTATAAAAAATAAATTATGGATAATAATGTGTAAAATTAATAAACTTAGTTTATTGTACATAATATTATATTTAATGCATAATAAACTAGATTAATAATTTGCAGTAAAAATTTATTAAAAATTGCAAAATTTGATACCCCGCTATATTTTCAGCGTTCGTATAAGTATTGTCTTATATCCACTCTGTGGTTTTATTACGAAAAAATGTTCGTGAATATTTAGTTGTCATTTATATTTATATTAGACACATTTTCATATAATAAGATTATAATTCTCACAGATGACACAAAAAAAAAAAAAAAATTAATTTCAATTGGTAACACGTGACACTTAAGAATTTAGTTTATTATATTATAATTAAGCGTCTGTGATAACCATAGGCCCGTAAGTCATATTTTAATTCATAGACCCGAAGAAAAATTAATTAAAATTTTTTTTAATTTAATATTATCGGGACATTTTTAAAGAAGAAATTGCCGATTCAAATAAATAAATAATTATTTTATTTTATTCGGTTAGATTTAAAATAAAGCTTATGGCAGTACGGCAGCTAAAATATTCAAGAATTCTCTCCTTCAGTCTTTAGTTTAAAAGTAATCGCGTATTGTGACCGGCTAGACAAGATACGGAAATATTTCTGACGGTCATCGACCCCTAATGCTTTTTTCATAGCATTATAAAATACTAAAAATCCACTCAACAAATATTTGTTATAGATTATTTTTTGTAAAATCAATTTCAGCATAATATTATTCAATTTTTTTTTTTTTGTTCACCCCTCCTTGAAGTAGCTTCGGGAAATGCACGAATTGCAATCCGTCGCTTATAAAATAATTTATTACATACAACGCAAATCTAATTTTATTTAACAATATCATGTTAACATTTATTTTGTTGAATACATTCAGTCGTGTTCTCGCATCGCAACACAATTACAAAAAAATATTGTCTGGATAAAATAATATAATTTTAATATATTAGGTACGTATATATATATATAGGTATATTTTTTAACATAACCTCTATTGTAAATTTGTATTATTATATTATAACAAACGTCACAAAAAAGAATTAATAAATATTATATTCGTGCGGTGTGCGGGTGCGAATTTTGTATTATACTCAGCAATGTGTATATTATACATGTAACCAAAGTATCAAATAAAAATACAAGTATAGGTTATATTGTGTAGTATAGCTATTTGTATTATTGTTTGATAATAGTAGTAGTATACATTATTTTTCCCTTCGTCGCGTTATTATACTATTATGATGGAGTAATCGAGTAAACATAGCGAATACAAATTAGTATTACGCGTATTGTCATTGCCTCATTGAGATTAGCAAATAAATCATTTTTTCTCGTGTTTATCGATTGACTTTGACTGCACCTTATGCATATCATAACGATACTCATAATTCACAAGCTACATACTCACAAGTACACAATAATATAATATCATCGATATAAATTTGTGTACAGAAACGTAGTTATAGATTTTGACAAGACTAGTTCAGGCCAAAGGCGCCAACATCTCAAAAACGAGTACAAAATCTACAATTCATACACAATAGAAATATAACATTTTAATGAAAATGAATAAAAGTCGACTACTATATTATGAAAGAGCAAATATTTCTAGGTGACCTGTAGTGGTTCAGTCTATGTCCGCGTTATGCCAGGTATATTTTGTTAATTTTAACACTTTAAATCCCGATCTGTAAAGTCTCAGCACAGCGAGCTTATTACCCATATGATGGGTTATAGTCTACGGTGTGAATACATCGGGTACGGAACAAGATACACGTGTTACACAACAATAGAAAGAGTCCCGTCATTTTTTATTGTTATTTTTTTTTTTTTTTTAATTCACAGTCGGACGCCTCCTTCAAAAACCCGTACATAAATCGCTTGCAGGAAATATAGGTATACGTACGTCCGAGCGAAAATATCGAAACGTCCATTCCGAACTTTCGGAGATATGCTATATATAGTAAGGGATCTTTTTTTCCGAATTCCTCGGTCGTTGGAAAATAAAAAATTGACCCAGGCCATGGCTACCTATTCTGACTATTTCGAGTTTACATTTATACGAATACAAATATTGACCGCCGAGCAGCGGACGACGAAGGTGATAAATTAGAACTTTTGGCATGTCCTCCAAGGGCACATTGCGTTTAACACATCCCGTGATAGATACCCGTCATTATCTCTTTGTCAATAGTCGATAATAACTGCACAATGAACGCTGACAGTGATTCGCTTTGTCAATTATTCTCTGTAATACACATGACATGTCGCCAATAATATTAACAAATTATTCAATTTATATACAAAAAGTTACCTAAAAATTATGTTATTTTCTTATTTTTTTTTTCGTTTTTGGTTTCATCTTTTTGATTACGGAAACTTTTACGAATACATTTTTATCGATACATACACAATAAAATCATCCGACAAAAAACACGACCAGTAGAAAATAAATGGTCAATTATTGAGTTAGTAATTTTCTTAACATGTAATTTTCCATGGTAAATATTTTCACTGAAAGTATATCCGGGGAGAATCAATAAGTAAAGAGACAAATTTGTTTTACCTGCTTGTGGAATTTTTTTTGAGGGAAGGGAAGCAAAACCGCAGTGAACATTCACTAGAAAATTCCCTAACCTAATTCTACTACCTATAGTAAATAATAAACCTCGGAAAGTTTTTATAGGTAATAACCATATAAAGCTTTGGCGACCAAGTCTCGATTCGAAAACTGATAAAACTGAGATAAAAACACTTGAATAAACATTGGTAAACTAATAAACTAAAGTTTATCTTATACCGTCAGTACATTTTCATAGGCGTTATACCATAAAAACTATTCATATGCATCATCCGATGTTTTCGTTCTAGTACGTGTTTTTTTTTTTACAATGTTTTTGATAATATAATTAAATTTTTTAATAACTATGAAAACGTTTTCGTCTCAGTTTTTACGGGTTGCATTATGAAGCGTTTATTACATAGGTATAGTTGCAATGCTCGAATTGGGGGAAAGGTGAACGTGAACGGAGTCCGCTTTCATTTTTTCATACATTTTAACGTAGGTACTATTTCATTTAATTAGCTCTGAAACGCCAAGAATTTGTACAGCACAGCCGGTGGTAGATTTAACGGCCGGACAAGTAAAAAATGTCCGACCTGGTCAAAACATAAAAAAAAAACAATTATCGTAATTTATAATTAATTTGGTTTTTCACATACCTATACCTACATTATTATTAATTATATCTATTTATTTATAAACGTATTAACTTTTTGCTCATACTACTATAATGATGATTGATATTATGCTGTCACACATTAAGATCTATTGAATAAATATAAATTACATTTGTATGTGCATCTAATAATGTGCTTAAACTAACGGAATAAAACTAATATTCTGACACGGCATTTTCCCTTCAATTCGCGACTGAGCGCAGCTGTTAATTATTATTGTTATCCAAAATTAAAATTTGCTGCAGGTTACTAATCTTCACAAGGTATTGGAACTGGGGGAAAAAATATCGTTATATCGAAAAACGTGTTTCATATAACTTTATTTCATATGCATCACAGACAACAGACAAGGAATCCGCGGTTATAATTTGTCAATTTTCCTATATTTTTCGACCGCGTTTCCCAAACCCAAAAGCCAAAAATCAACCGAGAAATCAATTTTTTTTTCTGCCAATATTATACTTAGTGTCTTTTATAAGTCCCCCATAACTTTCTGAAAACATTTAGGTATCTTTTAGGTACTCCATAGCAGATGGTCTCTAAACTAAAACCTGCAGCGTCCATCGAATTGTTCCTCCATACAAGCACTGAGTATATTATTATAAAACCTACTGTTTTATTTGTTCAAAAAAATGTTCCGGAAAAGGGAGACTAATGTGTCTTAATATTTTATTACTAAAAAAAACGACACAAATATTAAACCAACCCGCTAAATTTGTGGTTTTTACGACGGTAATATTTTTTTTTATCATTTACATTTTATAAATGCTAGGTGTTAAATCTATAATAATTATCTACCTACTTGTATTTTTTTTTTTTTTAATTATTAAAAGTTATTGAAATTAAATTTAAAAAAAAATATATCTAAGAGTATTATTTATTCTGGGGTGACCATATGTCCTGTTTTATGCAAAATTGTCCTTTTTTTTTAACTTTGTGTTCTGTTGTCCTGACAAACGTCTTTCAGGACGCTTTTTGTCTTATTTTTTATGTCAATGCCAATTTATTATTCCGTATTAATTATTATTTTATTTAATTAGAATAACAATGAAAAATTGACAAAAAATAACATAATAGTTAATAAATACTACCTACTTTGAATGTATTAATGAAATTATTTTGTCTTGTTTTTAATTTTTTTAAACATGGTCACCCTAATTTATACCCACACTGTAGTATATAATACGGCTTCCGTCCACTTTCCAGTATCATATTACACATTTTATCTGTTATAATAGTTGTATATAATTATGTTGAATCATATTTGTCAATTGGACCTCGTCCGTTTATTAAAAAAAAAAAACAACGGTGTCAATGCCACAGGTACTAATGATACTATTAATGTTGTTGTATGTGGCGATCGCGTGAAATTTGCCAACGGTACATGAAGACGCGCGTGATTTTGGCACTCCATATTTCATTATAACCACAAGAAAGAAGGGCTCAAATCAATTTTGTATTGTTTTCAATGCGAGTAAATTGAATTTTGAAAATTGTTAAATGATATAATGACATATTTGTTTACTAACTTAACCTATAAATAAGACTTTCTAAACGGCCCGAGTCATTTAATCACGATGACTTGAGAAATTTTAATTTTCAGTAAGTCTAACATTTGTCGAACATATCTTAATAAATGCGAACAACTGGCAGATACAAATTAAATTACTCTATATATTATGTTCCTTTAAAACTTCTCTCCTAAAACAACGGCACATCCATCAACAGTAAAAGCATTTTATTAAAACGGCAACTGTTTTATTTTATTTTAAATATTTTAAAAACCGTATGATTGTTCTATTTCATTTTTGTGCATTTAATATATTATATTTCTCTATAAACATTATAAACCATAACGAGAAAGATACGATATACTTAAATATCCTACCCCGCATGTAAAGGGCACAGGATGTTGTTGTATACTCTCTAACAAATTAATGGGAACATGGTCGATTATGTCGTTTAAAGATATTATTAAAAAACAAATGCAAACATTTTCTCCCCGATAGGGAGGCCCGCCCGCACCAATACGGCGGATTTCTTGAATGTAAACAAAAAAAAAAAAAACGTTAAATATCGACAGTCAAAATATCCAGTAGTAGCGGATTATAGATAAATTAAAACGCGAAATTATGTCGCTCGTATATTTTGTACCGGCAGCTAAATTATCGGACATGGAAAGGTCAATTGCGCGGGTCGCGCGCAATAAAACGGCGAATATCAAGATAAGAAAACAAAAAAAAAAATAATAATAATAATATGTTTGTCTTACGACGATCCTGGACAGATATTTCGCCAGTTTGTTGAACACGACCACGGCAGTGAAACGCCACAAGACGAACGCCCGCGACAATTGCGACGACATGTCCCCGGCGCTATTGTCGGTATTTCCGGCGCGCGCGGTCCAACAGCCGCGAAATATATCCGAGCGGTAAAAAAAAAAAATCGCAAAACGCAAAATGTGAAGGAAAAAGAAAAAAAAAAAAAAACTAAAACCGATACAGTATTCTTCGACGTTATTCCGGATTGTTCAACGCGTTCCCGAAACGAAACGCCGAACCGACCGAACTAATGACAATAATAATAATAATAATAATAATTTCGTTAAAATATTCTACCGGTGCGTACGGCGGACGGCGGATGCGGAAGCCCCTCTGCCAGTCGGCCGACTGCCGCGCGGTTTCGTTCGGCGGGGAACTTGTGTTGCACTCGCGCGATATCGCGGCGGCGCCGTCGTCCGGGGAGACTGGCGTTTTCCCATAACGCCGGCGCCATCTCGTAATGTAACCGCGGCGCGTAATAATTGCCAAACCCGCGTTACATGTATGCACGCCCGCCCGCGGAATAACGCGACGTGTTATTACTGTCGCATTATTATTGTTACCGCAGTGTTTATGTTATTATTTCGACAATGTGCCCGCGAATGATTCGTTCCGGACTGGTCGAGTTACATTTCGATCGACTTTTGACCCACTTCCGGCGGTCCCTGCGGATCGACGCGACGCGCGCTGGTATTTGTTTCCGCCGGATCAACGCACGAGAACCGGATTTCCCGTTTTTATCGTCCCGTATGACCGGATTACGCGATTTTCGCGACGAACGATTTCATGTAATATCGAAAAACGCCTCGTACAATACACGTCTTTTGTTCGTGCGTATTCCGCCACAAACAATGTCCGCGGTCGGATTTGCCTAAAACGGGCGGAAACACGGTCGAAAAACAACGTGGTTTACGCGTGTAACTATCCAAAAAGATAAATAATAACTGGGGCCCGGATTTTTACGCACTCGAAAATTAAAAAAATATGTGAACAAATTTTTTTATTGTGTTACAAAAACCGAACATTTCAAACAAAATTCAAAAATTGATCAAGTGAAAAAAAAATACAATTTAAATATCAATATTTAAAATGTGCATACAAATTTATATTAATTAATAAAATAATAATGTAAAAACAAAATTATTAAAATGGTTAATACTCGTAAATAAATAAAGTAAAAAAATATAGTGAACCCAAAATGTATATATTAAAATAAAATAAATAAATTAATCGATTTCGTTGCCTGGAGTATTGTGATAAGTGTATTATACGGCCGGTTTCGAATTAAAAATTCATCATCAGGTCAAATTTAGCATCATAGTCAAAATATAAAACGCGACTGAATATAAAAAATTAAATAAAGAAAAAAAATTATACAAATTGGTCGTTTTACATAGAAATAATTTATTTTAATAGGAGAGATTTAAAATATTATTATTATTTTTATTTATTTCATTGTGGATGTGTAATTCTTCTATAACTGAATTAATGTAAATGTTATTTTGGGTATTTAATATTTCTAAGTCTGTATTAATATAAAATTTTGTATTAAGTATGTTCCAAAACATGTTTGGCGTAATTTGAATTAGGGGCAGTCTTTTTCAATTTTATTTCATAAATTTATTCTTTATTATATCTTATTTTAAAATGTCTGTTTGTCCTACATATATAACATTTATTACAGTTACATTTAAATTTATAAACACTAGCATTTTCAAAAAAAGGAGGATTTATTGTGAAGTATTTAGCTCTATTGTTTATACGTTTGATTAAATTATTATTAATCTTAAAATAGCGATTTTTACATTATTTGTATTATTTTTTAGGATTTTAGCGAATTCGTTAGACGCATTGTTTTTATATTTCATTCTACAATAGTTAACAACCTTATTTGGTGAGTTGTGTATTATTTTTTCTTCAATACTTTTATTATAAAAAAAAAAAAAAAAATGAACAGCAGAACCTACGTATTACGAAACGTTAAGATATTTAATCAGAATTATTATAAGTCAAATGTAGAAGAATATGCATATGCATAAAAATCCGGGTCCTAATAATAACGAAAAGTGTGAATAAAAATTGTTATTATTTGTATTCATTCATTCATTAATTTGTTATTATTCATTTGCTTTTCACCTCCAAAGAAATTGTATTTCTGTGACGACGCGAGATTTTTGATTTCTAACTGTCGGCAAATATTATATTCAGATAAATAGAGTTCATTAATAATTATATTCTGTATCTAATTATATTAATGAATCGATAAATGGTGTAAGTTGCTCGTAAATATTTGTATACGCGCGTATTTCGGAAATGAAAATCTGGACTCTTGGACTTCGAAAAGTCCGTATTTTTCTTATCCCTACATAATGTATGTAGTGTATTGCGTACCTATATAGTATCATGTCAAATCGATACCACGTGCCATGCCCTTCCGACCGAATATGGCCATTAAAGTAACGTAAAATCGAATAATTTTCCGAAAAGGGCGTACCTACCGTATTTATATATTTATTTTCATAATAATACAAGATTTTGCCCAGACCATCGACATAGGTGTTTACAGGAAATTACAAGTTTATAAAATGTGAGAAAAGTCAAGCGCATTTAAAAATTGACCGAAAAAAAAAACACACCGTAACAGAGCGGTTTGTTCTAATATTATAAACCAAAATTAATACCTATTACGATGAACAATTTCCCTTGGATGTAACTTTATTATTTAATTTTCCAAAGAGCCGATAAATTTCCACTGTAAACACGAATTATTGTAACTGCTGAATATTCGTTTAAATAATCATCACGTATTAATAATACATTAATGTATAAAATATTTTTTTTTTTTCAAACCGCCCGAAAGTTATTATTACAACCATCAAAGGTCTTTAATAATACATTACAAAAATGTACATGGTAACTGGTTTATTAATGTACAAAAAAAAAAATGTTAAACATGGAGTGGCCCCGACCTTAGTCTAAGAATCTTATACGGATATGTGGACGCGCTCGGCCTATAAAAAAGTAAAAATAAAAAAATGGACGCACTCAGGATATTCCCATCTCCCCGATACCCGCATTTAGTTATAGGTATATTATTATTATTGACATATTTTGATTCGGAGCGTAGCGAGGAATGTTTTATTGCAGGTTTTACAATGATGTATATTTATTAATTTTTTTATTTTGTGAGCAATTTTACTATCAGATATCATGCTTTGTTTACCAAGTATAGAACTTTTTCTGAAAGAAAATTTTATCAACTTGGTACTTTAAAAAAGTGATTTTTTTAATATTTTCAGTAATTTTCATAACCATTAAGAATTATCGAGGAAAACGTAGGGAAAACAGGAAAATGTACGTACATACATGTATAAAAGAAAATTATTTTTTCGAAGGGACTTCAAATCGTTTTTCGTTTGCTCGTGCAAAGTATATCCGTCTTTTTTTTAAATTTAATTTGTCTGAATTTTACATTTCAATGTTATTTTTGATTCTAAGCAGTGCTCTCTTTATTCGACTAAAATAAACTAATCTATAATTTAAATCGTTTTAAAATTGACTACATTATATCCAGTAATAAAACACATTCAACGTTAAATAACTTTTTTGTAGTGTTTATTAACAGTTACTTAATAATTTGCAGCAATATAAATTTCTTAATTTGCTCGTTAAAGAAAATTAACTAAAACTACAATATACGAACACGAAATAGGTACCGCTAACAACGTGAATACTTATTAATAATAAGTATTAATTACTTAATACTTATTGGATATTGCACTAAATTATGGTACGGCTTACAAAATATCGATAGATAAAATCATATTGCTTCGTGTTTAGTACATAAGTAGATATCTTGGGTATCTATAGTAGATATGACCGCTATGTAATAATTTTTCTTATACCGAAGAACTCTTCGATAATTCTTCCCAAAAATTCACTCTAGAACCGTATAATAGACCGTCGACCATTCTTGTATTATCTTCGTCAATCGATAAATACTTGGGAACATCCTCAGTCGTATTAGTCCATGTAAACTCTAGGCCCGAAGGTGAATTTGGGTCCCTAAAAACTCAAGACAAATTAAAAATTTGCATCTAATACAATTATTTGAATTATAAATTAAAGTAAATTATTTGAACTATACTTCAAATAATAAACTACTAATATTTTTTAGTAAGTTTAAAAATAGTTAGAAATAAAATAAAATAGAAGGATACAACAAAGTTAAAAATAGTTTGTTATTTCGTTCTATTCACATACCCAGTTTTTGCGAAATTGGACCACAGTGTACTCATTATTTTGCACATTCTCATCTCCGGAGAATTATCTTTAGGCGCAAATCCAAAATGTGTTCCATAAAACAAATAATTTAACTCATCCGCATGACATGCGCCTAGACATTATTATTTTATTGTTTTGTAAATTGTATAAACAAATAATCAGCGGCGAGGCTACAAAAGAAACGCTGTCTACCCATTTAGAAGACAGACAAATAATTTTTAAATAATAGATTTAATAAAATTTGAATCGCATAATTATATATATATATATCTTTGTATGTAAAAAGGTAAGATAATGGAGACGGGTGCAGTCATCTGTAAGATACAGACAAGTAACAATAAACCGTTGCTTACGAAAAATCGATTCTGAGCGGACTTTATTTGAAAGTGATGCTTTTTCTACAATATATATATAACATATTATAGTAAAATAATTAAATAGGCTCTATATATTTTCTTTAAAAATATTTATTTAATGTTGTACCGGTTTTCCCAGTTTCCGATGTTTTATCCTGGTTTTCCAAATTTGCTGGGAAAATACTCAAAAAATCATAAAACGACTTCCTTAAATTACCTCCCCACACCGATTTCCTTTCAGAAAAGTTGCTACACTTAGAAATTCGAGCAAGTCTTCTGGTAGAAAAGTTGTTTACAGATTAAAAAAAAAATAAACATCTTTGTAAAACCATAAGCTTCTTCACTCAGAATCTAAAATCTCGTGTCACGATGTTTGTTTGCGGTAATCTCCAAAACTGCTGAACCAATTATTATGAAATTTTGTAATAATGTGTATTTTTTTGTCCAACTTGAGAGATAAGATAATTTTTATCCCAATAGGTGACTCTTAATGTTTTTATTGCAAATTTAAGAATTTTGTATAAGACAATGGGTTATTTATAAGTATTATACATGTACTGTATCGTATTTATTATAGATTAATCTCTAAGCTGTACGAGTTTATTCATGGTAACACGGGTAAAAAATGTTATGATAAACTAGAAAACTTTCTATTTATTTTTTTTTTCGTTCAATATACTGATACGGGCAAAGAAAAATGGAAATAAAAGTAAAAATGTGCGACGTAATGGGTCACCCAAAAACATTCAATACAACTTTTTTGGTGCATTTTAAATCTAGATAGTAAATATAAAAGTCATTTTTTTTATTTTCCGTGTAGTTTTTGTATAACTAAGCAAAACCGATAAAAAAAACAGTTTTAAGCGATTTTTGAACTATTTATAGACATTGTATATTTGCGAGTTTTTATTTGGTAGGTGAATACGTGAATATCATTGTTTGACCAACAAGAAAATCTTGAAAATTTAAAAAGATGTTCATTATAAATATTGTACTTGGTGATCAAAAAAATTTAGACTGTCATTTAGTAGTTTTTTTTTTTGTAATAATTGTTTTATGATCAAATTTTAAAGAAAATTTTAAATATTACGTCCTTGCAAATCACGTATAAACAAACTTCGCTCAGATTCGTTTTTTGATAGCAATGGTTTTTCGTTGCTTGCACCTATAAATTAAATGTCTTTATGTATTCTACCTTCCCAGCTACCGACAACAGTGACGCACACATCAACAGTATCAGCTAATTTTATTTTTCTGTAGTCGTCGTCGTCGTGTAATTGCATTGTTATGTCATCGTAAATTTGGTATTGTACTATCGTGGTTATTGGTTAGTTTTTTTATATTACTTATATTATTATGTTACGAAATTCGTCATTATACCTGACAATTTAATTTATGACATTTTAAGTTATGAAATAACAAACTACTCATAAGAAATAAAGTAGAACATTAAACATAATTAAATATAAAAATTATTAAATTGAACTACTGCTGACGGAAAAATGGTTCGAACATTTCAATTCGTTTGGTATTTTAGTATAAATGGCTTGCCGGTAGTCAAGTAAAAAATAAAGTATGTTATTTTTATTTTCGTCTATTAAAAGAACAAATCTAGGGTCACGAAGGTATGTCAATATAGTTAACATTTTTTTTAACTTCTTCCCGACATAAAAACCCTCACCTCGCCACTGAAAATAATATTATATTATATACTACATACATACCTTTCAACGATTTCCGTAATTCTGGTCTTGAATAAAAGATAAGGTTTTTACAAACATTGATATTTCCGTCAAATTTAAATTCATAATAATAAACTGACGTGCCGTCTCCTCGTTTAAGAAGATGATTAAAACTACGATGAAAGTCTTTGACGAAATATCTATCAGTGTACAGCTAATTCGGAAATAAAAATGACACAATTTATTCTACTACACCTATTTAAAAGTTTATGTTAAGTATATCGAATTTAGATAATTTTACTCACATTACAAATATTTTCTAATTTGGTTATTTCGTTTTCAATGTTCCGTTCATTGAAATAAAACGTTTTTACTTTATTAACAGCTTCTTCACTATACTCATGTCCGAGAAATTTCCTAATTTCTTCAGGTTTATGAAGATTAATAATTTTTGGCATTCGATATCCTGAAAATAAAAATACACATAAATATATTATTCTTTTCAATAGTTTACCTATTTACGAAACTTTGACATTATATGATTAACAATTCCCGTAAGGTCAATAAATAAACTTAAATGTGTATTATTAATATTGTATGGAAAAACAATCATAATTCCTATGTATATGGTATATTATATATGTTTAGGTGATTGACTTTTTTAATATATTTTAACTTTATGTATTCATATAAAATTGTGTGTTTATAAAATAAATATCTAGTACAACCTATGAGGTATTTTAATATTGATAATTTTTTCATTTTTGCCCGCTTCTTATGAAATTCAATATTTCATTTGACAATTGAAAAAATAAATAAAATATATTACCAGCCAATGATATTAACCCTTCCATATTGTTAACTCCATTTATAACAGGTAATGACGGTGCCGTTTCAACTAAATTCTCCGGATGAGTAGGTAAAAATGGATTTCTAACTGTATTGCATTGAATAGTAGGAAGAAACTTATACCTTAAAAAATCATTTTCATCCTAAAACAAACAACATACATTATGTGATTATCAATTATCAAAATTATCAAATGTGTAATAAATAATTTACCTACTCTAATATGTAGAGTAAACCTTACTACATTTTTTTATAGAAAGCCAAACAAAATCGGTTAATTTTAGGTTGCAGAGCTTGATTTGCAAATTTTTAACCAGTCACTCAAACAAATAAGGCACTGTATTAATGGGTATGCTATGCCCCCATTTCGCGACTCATTTATCAATATCAACAATGACTATGATTATAAACGCGGCCATTTTATATCTGATTTGTTACGTCATTTTAATTTGTAGCACAGACATATTGTAGAATGGCTAATTAAAAATATATCCAAATATCCAATTGAAATGCTTAACACAAGACGGTCACGTAAAATACTTCTATGTATAATTTTTAGATTGCTATGTCTATTAAGTGATCAAAAGAAAGATACTTCATGATTTGTTTACTATACAGTTCAAGTTTAATAATATAAAATTATAAACATTTAAATGGGAAACTAAACGTCCACTGTATTAGCTGAAAACAGGAATAATAGTATTGTATATTGACTAATGCCACATCCATTCGCATTCGCAGTATTTTTATTGTTTACACGGAAGGTATCGTGTAAACCAGACTTATGCCTCTACTTGTGTCTCATAATCTACTGCATATAAGTCATAATTTTGTTATCATTATATAATATGTATACAGAATGACCAATTATCAATAAGATTAAAGAGTATTAATTTTTTTCAGAATTTTATTTGTAATTTTATCTATAAAATAAGCATTAAGATTATGTGTTATATTTTTTTGTTTCCAAATCTTTAGGGGTGAAACCACTACCCACTTTTGATTCGGGGGCTATACAAATCCGGAACACATTATACATATTTGCATCTTATGTACTTACTACATTACTAGTCTTCTCACCAGTGACGGCCCGATAGATTTCGGGGTCCGGTACAGAATTTTGCAATGTGTATAATTGGTATCATCTTGATTTTCGTCGATTACAACCCGTGTAATTACAACCCTAAGAAAACCACAATGCCACATGGCACATGGGTCGAAGTTTGCTTACTATTGAGACAATATTATTATGATTATATTATAAAGATAAAGTGATACAAAATTTGTGGGACACCACATAAGTGCGGGACCCGGTGCGGCCGCACCGCTTGCCTCCCCCCCTAGGGCTGGCACTGCTCTAACAATCGTGTTTTTGTTTACAATGATTGATAATTACATGCAGTCCATAAACCAAATTACCATGTATATCCTATAACTTATAAGTACCTACCTTGTCAACTTTCCACTTGTAAAAATGGCATACTCGTGAGCAATAGGTATCAGCTTTTTGACATTTTTAACCCCTCCTAAAAATATATCCTAGTTGCACCACACTGGATCACTTTGTACGTATAATTGCTCCCAAGCTGTACGTGGTAAAATAAAAGCTTTATCAGCTTCCTAATGATATGTAACCTATATTTTAACGAGGGCATCCCCACCGACCATGGCTTAAAAAAAACTTTCAAACAAAATATAATTTGTTTTTTTTTTTTGTATTACCTTGAATAATGTGTGCACGCATTGATTTACATTGAGTTATTCATATAATGATAATAATATTATAGTTACGGATGATGTTAATATCAATTAATTATTACTATAATTGGATGAATAGTACGATATTACGTCCTACTCGTATTTCTGAAATTAATATATATTTATTACGGGTATTATGGATAACAACCTACGAACATCTTATTCGAATACATATATGTACAATATTAATAGACTGACAATAAATTTGTCTTTAATGCTTCATTTTATGGCTATGTTTAACACAGTTAAATCACATACCTCATATTTTGATGCTTCCAACAAATTAACAGCTGAAACATTTTTTAAATATTTTATTATTTCTGTAGGGTCATCTTCTTCACATCCCAATTTTTTGGCAAAATTAAACGCTTCTTCTCTATGTTTTAGATTTAAAGCCCACGTGTTAAACATACTTCCACTTTGCATGATAGCTCTTTGAAATAATCCTGTAATTAAATAATATCACTATTATAATATTCATAGGTAATTTTATACATAAATCTGTATTAAAAATTAGAAAATAGCCATATAAGTTTAAAAAAGTACCTATGAATATATTAAAATTCAATATGTATCCATTATATTTATAAATTTATAATTATTGTATTTCACATAATAATTTTTATCGATACGTTAAATTCAAATTAAATTCAAATTGATAACGCAGAAGCAAATCTGATAAGTACCTATCATTTTTACTATTCCTGTATTATTTTTTTACCAGAGTGTCCGGGTTTTTTTTATACAAATTTACAATTTTGTTACTTATACAACTTTAGAGGATTGTACCTACGAATATTAAATTAAATTTTATTTTATTTTTCTGTTGTATAGATTATAGATAATACTGTATCTATTAGTGTCATATCCAGGGGGTCATGGGGGCACGTGACCCCATCCGAAATCGTTTTTTTTTTTCGGTAATGCTGTAGCGCAGTTTACGTAAATTCTTTAAGTAGATACCTACTATATAGTATATACTATTATAAGTATTATATAGTATATTGTTTTATATTATTATGTATAAATGTTAATAGATGTGTTATATATTATCATTATATTATCTTACAAGACTACAAACTTTGTTTCAACTTTACGCTGTAAAATTATACGGGAGTATAAATAATAAATGATAAGGAAATAAGGGAATCATAAAATAACAGGTGATAAGTATTCTAGCTTTACAAAAACTAGATAAAAAAATGAAGTGCCTTCCTCTCCGCGAAATTATGTGCTGACTACGGTAATGCAATATACAATAATAAATATATTTTATTGACAAAACTAACCTTTTGATGATGGAGAAAGTATATGACAGTGAACAGATGCTGCTCCTGCACTTTCTCCGAAAATAGTAATATTATTAGGATCGCCTCCAAATTCGGATATATTTGCTTTCACCCATTTTAATGCGAGCAATTGGTCTTCTAGTCCCATATTACCGGGACAATCGTCAATATCGAAGTTCAGAAATCCTAAGAACCATATCTGCATATTATTTAATCTCATTCAAAATTATATTTTTATTTTTAATTTAATAATATTATCTTTAAGGCTAATAGGTATTATGTAATATGTATCACCTAGAACATTCAAGCGGTAGTTGATTGTGACTACAATTACATTTTCATCGAGCAAATAATGAGGAGAATACTCGTCCAATGACCCAGATCCAAAATTAAACGCTCCACCGTGTATAAAAACCATGACAGCTTTTTTTTCTTTTGGTTCCTCCTGCAGTAATTGATAAACAATAGGAAAATTTAATCAACAAAATTAACAATGATATACGTTTTAGACAATAATTTTCGGTTTACAACCTGTGGCATAAAGACATTTAAATATAAACAATCTTCGCTTCCGACAATTTTGTTTGTCATTAATGTGTACTGCATACACTTGTTTTTTTCCGAAAAAGCTCTCAAAGTACCAAGCCATCCTGGATGCTCGACAGGAGGCTAAAACGAAATTAATGTTTTTAAGTATTTTGTCATATAAATTATATGCTTAAGGAGCGCGGTGCCGGTTTTTCACATTTTCCCCAATTTTGTAAAATTAAAATTATTTATAACATTTTAATGATCACTTTGATGATAAGATTTGTTCTCTAATATGAGTATATACTGTTCTATACCCGTTTAGGGGAAGGAGTGATTTTTATGGAATTAACAGATATATAGATATAACTCATTATCACTTTAATGTTTACACCTAAAACATATTTTCTTTTTTAACTAATAAACATCAATATATAACAGCCCGCAATGAACTCTGAGTTTCTATATTTGATATTAAATAATGGTATAAAAACACGTTTCAAATTTACTTTTTTCAGATATATTACAAATTTTGAAATTAAAATATTTTAAGACGGGGTTCAATTCTTAACTGTCTTTAAGGTTTCTTTCCAAAAATAAAGAAATATTTGTAATAATTAATCGTCAATTGGATCATTCTACAGGCATGGGAGCTTTCACCGTAAGGCAAATTTTTAAGCCAAAAAACGAGTTGGCACAGAGCCCCTTAATGTTTACAATTTATAAATATTAAAATATATCATCTAAATATTTATAAACTACGGTACTTTGTATTTTGTACGCATTTGCTGAATTGCGTATTTTTGCCATTGCATATTTTAACTAAATTCTCACCTTAAATCTTAAATCATCAATAGGAGGTTTGGCATATGGTATACCGAGAAACCTGGCATAAGGTTTCTTTAATAACCGTGTCTCGTAACATAGCCCTTCCAAAGTACCTTGCTTTATGACGACTGTAATTTTCTTCCTAAGCTAAATAAAATAATATTCAATTCTTTAATATTTAATATTTTAATAACATAATAGGTTGGTTAGTATATATACTATTTAAGTTATTGGATACAGCTAGAACTTGTAACATTTTTAAAAAATTACAAAATATAAGCTACTAAAATGCGAGCTGGGACGAATATGTATTATTCAACAATATATACTTGTATAAAACTGTTATAAAATAGTGACTATATTTACACTGAAAAGCAATAATTAAATTTTGCATATATTCAAGTTCTTATTTTGAAATTTTTAAGTGTAGTTAAAATCAATATTTTTTAATGCTTAGATTCGAACAATACTCTCCCTCTACCTAAACTTAAAAGTGGAATATATCGTTAACGGGTTGACGGAATTTAAAAATGTTGACCCCAAAATGTATTTAAAGTAATTCTCTATCTATTTATGCAATTTTTAATATAGGTTTTAACTACAGGATAAATGTTATGAAAAATCTTAGTATTTGAAAATATCAGTTTTAATTACACATAAATATTCCAAAAAAAAAATTTGTGAATATATGCGAAATTTAATTTAAAAAATGGGCAGAGCACGCTTAGTGAATAATCCTGTACATAGGTAATAAATAATAAAATATATTGTTTGTTTTATTTATACAGCAGGGCCTATAGAAGCTCCGTATGCAGGTAGGTACTGAATAATATGTATAGATAGTAATTCTAGTTAGGCGTGATGCGATATTTATTATTTTATAATACATATTATATTAAAGGTTAAAATATATTATATGTCTAGGTATTATATTTAAGTACGATTCGATTGCATTATAAATTATATATTCCTTAAAAACGACAATGAAACATAATATTATTAAACGAATACAAAATTAATAAATTTTACTTGAATTTCATCGTTCGTCCGAATAATTTTTCCTCTTCCAAGAGAAACGTCGGATCATGGTAAACACGAATACATGTAAATAGGTCATATATTTTACCTGGGTAAATTATCGTCTATAATGTAAGCATAATATGCAATTGTGTAGAACCGTATTAAAAAACGAACCAAACCACACGAGTCATTTCCTACGATCCGACGTTTCTTCATTGCCGTAGAGGAGCGAAAGACATTAATATAGGCAAAACGCGCACAGAATGAAACAAAGACGTCATTTTTTTCCAACACGCTTACTCAAAAAAACGAATTAAATTTGTACTTATATATCATAATGACGCCTATCAATCTGATTTAATTATTAACTACTATAAGTACACGTATATTAATTTGTTGATCTTACAATGGCCATGCAAAATTGTGACATTAACCATTTGAACGTTATTCTACCCGTCAAACAGGTTAACCATAGTAAACACGCTGGCATACCGCGATCAAAATATATAATAGATACCTATGCGAACTATTTTTTCAATTCTTTTTTTTTATAACTATACGCGAATGAGTAAATCACAGTATACAATACACAACAGACTCGATGCTGGCGACAGCTCGCGTAGACTGAGGTAACAGTTGCAAACCAGTGGAGGCGATTGTAATGACCAAAGTCCGCGGCGCCTATCGTAGCTAACGCCACAAAAATCACGGCGGGGAACACTGATAATATTTTCAATAATTATTATTTGGTGGGTCAATAATAACGACGTGGCTAACCGAAAAAAAAAATTGTATACCTACCAGTTTTCAGCATTGTAAATTATAATAATGTTAACTTGGCACGTGTCCAATACAGTGACGCATTTATAGTGGACCACGATCTAGAACAAGCGGACGTGGCCGTATGGAAATGGGGACAATTGGAGGTATATAAAAAAAAAAAATATAAATCGGACAATAATTTGTTTATTATAATAGGTACGCCAACAATTAAAATACAATATCAAAAATAATTATTTATACTAATAAAATTAATTATGAATACGTCAAAAATGTATATACAATATTTAAAAAGTTTTCAATGTCAAAAATATAATATTAATGTAAAGAAATGTTTTAACCGATTCCACGTAAAAATTATATTTTAATTCTACTTTAATAACTTTGCACAATTTTTAAAATTCGTTTATCCGAATCAATAAATTTCTTTAATTTTTTGGGGGGACTGCTACCTGTCTCAAGTTGGCTGTAAAATACATCTCGCCTAGCTTGTACTTACGAAATATGTATTATAAACGTAATATCAGTGGTCTTATAATTTATAAATATAGATAAACCAGCAGAAAATTTTCCTACAAATAGGTTTATTGATTGATTTATGTATAATATATGTATATTTTTTTTTTGACGTCCATTTGTCCCCACGTCCAAACAACCACGTCCAAACGACTATGTCCATTTATTCCTATTCGGGTGGACCAATAGGACACAGGCGTCAAAATGTCAATGGCGGTAAAATTTCAAAGATTTTAGACGTTCATTTTTATAATATAGAGGAAGCAAGGTTGGGGTAAAGCAAATAAAGAATGTGTTCAAGTTTTAGAGGTACCCGTGCTAATGAAAGGAGGGGCAGGAATTTTGTTTCGACCCAGAGAGTAAAAGATTTACAGGTCACTAGTCCAAAAAGTCTGCAGAGAAAATTAAACATACCTAAATTCTTTTGTTTTTATTACATTCCTATAAGAACATGAACGTTTATCAAAAGTTTTTAAAACAATATTTTAAAATTATAATGGACACTTTTTGTTTGCAAATTAAATATTTATTAATATTTGAAATTGCTCTGAGAAAACGGCCATAAATAATACGTCACTATAACACTGAGTTTTAATATTTGCAGAGTAATTACCAAATACTATAAAATTATTAATTTATCATTACTTTGTAGTTACCTACATAATTACGTAAAACATATTTACTCGTAATCGTGCGAAACTTATAAATTATAACAAATAAGTATCGCCTATTGTAATAGTGGTGCAATATTATTACTGTTACAATAACGTAACTATAAACTCCCCGAGGCGAATTTATTTTTTCGCTCTTATCATAGAAAATAGAAATTATTATATATTTGTAACCAAAACAGTATTACAACTGTATTTTTATCTTAGTAATTATTTTTCTTTTCTTGGAAAAGATAAGATGAACTCTATCACACATTATTGCATTAAACATTTTTTTTTAACTTAAAATGTATTCAATAAATAGAGGTACACCTACAAGTATATTTGTTTTTATTTTTTTGTATTTCTTATTAACTAATGTTTCTATGAAATCATGAAATAATTTATACAGTATAATTGTTAAGTATTAAATACACATGGTATTTCTTATGTTTAATCAATGGTAAATGGTTTTAATATTATTAGCTTTTAATATTATCATTTTATAGCTACAAGTGACACATTAATCGGGGCGGTCAACAACAGCGGTTCTAGGAATGATATTATTCCGTACGGGTACAAAAATGTATAAATATGATTGGGTACTTCTAGCATTTGGATAATATTTTTGAAAGATTAAACAAATTACTAAGTCAAACATAAATACTGCTCTTCATAACGTAAAGAATCTAAATCACAAATTTTATTTTACATTTAATTGCATATTTTTCAGTTTTTGCTTTTTAAAACATATATTAGCAGTATGTAGCTTTCAAGTCAAAATCAAGTCAAATCAAAAGAACATATAATCATATCATAATTGTATGCCGCGTTATTTATTACCGTTTGTTAAATACTTAAAATATTCTGTATGATATTTAAACCAATTAAAACACCCTAATTTTGGTTTGAAAATCAAATAGTATGAATGTCAACCAGATCTTGATAATGTAAATTTATATTATCTGTTGATGTAATAGGTTTAATCATAAAGCTTTTTTTTTGGCACAATTCGCACAAGTTTAAATACAACATAACTGTCTCTCTTGTTATATTTTCATATTTACTATGTAGTTGGTGTTCCATTCTATCGCGACGTCCATGCCCGATTGATAAATGAGTTTCATGTAGTATGCTAAATAGTTCTTCATTAAAAACATAACATTTAATTTGGTCATCTTTGTTCATTTTTGGTACAACGAGCCTTTCCACATTAGACACTTCAACAACATCGTACTTTTTTATTATTCTATAATCATTTGGAATTTTTGGTTTTTTCGTTTTTAATTCTTTTAAATGTATTATGAGTTTCTCATATTTCACTTTACTTAAATATTTACTATTTGGTTTCTTAACTTCTAAAATTTTATTTAAACGGTCAATGAATTCATTTTCCATTTTTTTCCAACGCACGGCTCTATAAAATAATAGAACAATTTAATAACATACCCGATTAAAATACATTAATAACTAGTATATAGTTAAGTAATAGGTACGATAAGTTTGATAGTAGTATGATACTACGAAAATATAATACAATCAAATTAAAACTTAAAATACCAAATTTACAACGGGAACGGGTCACGGGCATAGATAATAAAGATGGATAAAAGTATAGGTATAATAAAGATAGAGGCATCGACCACGAATTAAATTAATATCATGATAAAATAAATTATTTATTTAAGTTTATTTTATAATGATTAATATTAAATAGGCAACCAGAGCTTGTTATCAATGAACTATTGTTCTGAAAATTCTGCTTTATCAAATAGATATAGAGCACCAAAAACAAATTAGCAGCGAAAATTTTAACTAATCTAGTTATCAATACTTATATTTGGCGTTGTTTTTGAGTTTCTAATTATTAAAATGTATTAATTAATAAATACAATAATAATATTCTATTTAAAAAGTTAAAAAATTATCATGTCTGCAAAATTGTGACTAACAAATTGACATTCATTGGGCGTTTTTTTAGCGTTCACTCTACATGAGCCAGACTATAGTACAAAATATGAAATTTCATCTATTTCGTGGTTGCACGACGACCTGTATTGGATATTTGGATCCATAAACATTTACAATTAATATGTCTATGATTGGTATCACAACAAGCGTCTAGAGCACGAATTAAGATATATTAATCCGTGGTCTAGAGACAGAAAATCCCTTAGATCATAAATAGTATATATATAAGCCAAGTATATAAGGTTATACAACCATTATCATTATCACTTAGAGCTTATCACTAAATTAAGAACCTATAATATTCTGTTAGTTAATATTCTATTCGCTTATAAAGTTTATTAAATTTTATTTTTCTTGACATAACTCAACTATTTGTGAAAGTGAAACAAATTAACTTTTTAACTATTTAATACCTTTGTTTATAGATATATAATATACATAAGAAAAAAATTCAAAATAAAAAATATAAAATGTAGCATGTTACTGGTAACATATTTTGTCGAACTGGTCATAAAAAAAACCTTAAAATACAATATAATGTTTACATATTTAAAAATAAATATATATGGAAATAAAATTAAAAAAAAGTACTTTCCTGTTATCTCTACTACCAATATATTTCTAAGACTACCTAGTCTATGGTTGGTTAACTAAAATCAACTATGAATATAAATGTTACCTCCCGCGTAAATACAATTTGATTAAAAAATAAACAAATAAATTTAATGTACAATTTGAGAAAACGTAGAAATTCCCGCATTGTTATCTGTATTATATTAACTAAATAAATAAAAAATTGGATTTGATTTTCAATTTAATGTAAAATTTAGAAATTTTGACACATGTTACACTGTTACTTTTTTACAGTATCATCGTCAAAACTTTTGAGCTTTAAAGGAAATTTAAATTTTAGGAGTTATTTTGCTGTAATTTGGTTATAAATACACGTATAGACTTGAAATTTGGTAATAATAATTATATTGAACTTACCTAGACGTGATCAAATTTTCAAAATCATCAGGCGACTATTTTTTTCCTTTTTTAGTAAGCGTTTTGATATCAAATTTAAACGACAATCGCAAAAAAAAATTACGGTACTTCAAATTATGTATTACCGAACTCGCTCGGAATCATCTTTCGTCAAGCAATGGTTTATCGTTGCTTACAGATATAAATGAACCTTATGTATTCCAATTTCCTAACTTCTCACCTACAATAAAGGGCCGCTCCAATCCCCAGTATCAGCTCCTATTTTAGTTTTGTTTAGTAATATAATATATGTATACCTGTATGAATATTTACTTTTTATTCAAATCTTATTTAATTTGAAACATTCATATTAAAATTCATTATCAAAATGTGGTAGTCGGGATAACAGGATTGATTATAATAGATAATCTTAAAAATGTATCGGTATTCGGTTGTCGAGATAACAGGAAATAAGGTACCTAAACAAATATCAACAAAATTCCATCGAACATTTTTTCAAAATTTTATTTAAATATGTCTTTTTCAATTTAGAATGTAGATTGGTTTGATATTGTTGAATTATTTAATTGTGACATAAATACAAATATAAAAATACATATATAATTTTGTAAAACGTTTATCCATCTAATATTATTTGTCTTTACCTTTCATAACATAATATATTGAATTTAATCAATAAATAAATTAATACTCGTAGTACGAGTTTCGTACAGTAATAAATTTTATTAAATACTTAAAATATTCTGTATGATATTTAAACCAATTTAAACACCCTAATTTTGGTTTGAAAATCAATTAGTCCGTAATATCTCTACTGAACTTTCACAATGAACAGAGCCAATCGCATAAGTAACAGTATATTCTAAAAGAAAAACAATTTAGTTACGTCGAAAAGTTTAAATCGTAAAAATGTAAATCACGTTTATCATGTATTTATCACACAGTAGCTCTATCCAGAGTATATGATCTAAGGCGGCCACGAATGTTCTTATCAAATCCGACAAAAAGTCACATCCTATTAGCGCCTTCTACAGTCATTGTTATTAAACCATATTCTAGATAATTGATAATTTTTAGTTAGTAACATACTTGAAGGTCGTGTCAGACTCATGATGCCATCATAAATATACACTATAGATAGCCCACTGGAATAGGCCAAAGGGAAACACATAGATTAATAGCATAACGTGTCAATAGATGGCGCACACGGTCACAATTTCCATAAATTAATTGTTATAAAAACCAAATGTGTGGGGAATATTTTTATGTGTAAGGAAATGTCAATCGTCATTCAATTGTGAAAACCGTATAAAACCAAAAGTACCTAAACTGTGATAAGAAGTAATGGAGTGGTAATAATTAGTAACAGGTCCTATGAATAAACCTATTACTTAAATATTATTTAAATGAATATTATTCATAATAATAAATAACAAACAAATAATTTGACAATTCTGGCATGACTATAATAGGCTGTTGTAATTTTTATTTGAAGAGTTGCATAAGTAGTTGCATTTGTATGGTAATTACATTTTTATAAATTTAAAATAAAATTTAATAGGTACCCTTCAAAAATGTCTGGACGTGGTATTAAGTGTTGGTTTTTTAACTATGGAAAAAGGCCCGGAATTCATCCAAATTAAAAACTATACCGTTTTCCTAAAAATGTTAACATATCTAGCCAATGGATATGTAAATCAGGTAAAATAACAAATAAACCATTACAGTTTCGTTCCTATGCTTCATTTTGAAATTTTTTTTAAAAAAGTGTAGGTATATTTCTGAATTTGGAGTATTTGTGAAAATACTTGCATTTTTTTATTAAAATCGATCGTGGGAACTAAATCGCTACAAAAAAACTCTCCTTTTTTTATTGAAGTTTGATTTTTGATGGAAAAGTTTCTAATTATACTATATCAATAATAATTTTACTATAGGCAGCCTAGAAATTTTGAACTTACATGAAGAACTTTTTATAAACAATATGTCTGTGAAGACTATTTTTCAATAATTTACTTTGTAAATGAAGCGCATCATTGTTCAATGCAGTTTGTTATTCCTTAATTATATGATAGTAATGAGGAAAAAGACCAACATATTATCCCACCTATACGTACATACATGCACAAAAAGGCAGACCAAAATAAACCAGTTACAGAATTATTAATTTCTCTTAAACCATCTACATCGTATACTATTTTAGATTTTCATATTCGTCCTAAAACTAGTCAATTTAGTGAAACGTCATTGCCATATTCTGAAACTAAACAGTTTTTAAATGATACAGTTATATTTTATACATTTACAAAACAAAAAATATCTGCAGAAGTTCCCAATAAAATAGTAGATACACCAAAAAAGAAAAAGTTAAAGTGTGCAATTTAAAACCAAAGAAAAATTATAAAAAATAAAACTTTGTCAAAATTTAAAATCACGCTATCAAGAACTTAAATTCTTATAAACATTTAAAAAATAAAACTCAATATTGTAATAGAGGTTCAAAAGTTTTAACAACAATGCAACTTTATGAAAGTCAATGAAAATCTTAGACTTTGGCAGAAAAAAATTGTTTTAATTGTACTTTTTATAAGTCCTTAGCAGCATACACATACCTGAGAAATAAACAAAATATAATTTTACCAGGATTATCAACAATTAAAAAATGGATAGGTAATTCAAAATTCTTAACAGATTTTAAAACAGCTACAATTAAAAATAGAAACAATGACAAATGAAGAAAAATACTGTGCAGTTGTATTTGATGAAATAAGTATAAAAAAACATTGAGATTACTCAAAGTATTTGGATATGGTTGAAGGGTTTGAAGATTTGGGACATAAAGGCAGAACCAACCAAATAGCATCATTGCTTTATACCAAAAAACATCATCAGTTATGGTTTTTATTGCTAGAGGACTGTATAATAAATTGAAAATAGCAATTCAATATTTTTTTTACTGGGGCATCAATGAAACATAATATTTTAGTTGAAGTGGTTGAAAAGTTAGTTAGCATTGGTTTATCAGTGACTGCAATTGTATGTGATCAAGGTACAAATAATGTTGCTGTTTTAAAAGACTTTGGAATTTTTAAAGAAAAACCAGACTTTAATTTGGATGAAAATAAAATTGTTTCTCTATTTGACATACCTCATATAATTAAAAATTTCCATAACAATTTTATAAAAGATTTTATTTACAAAAGGCAGAGAATAACATTTAATGACAAAAAAAACTTTAAAAGTAATGTAAATTTAGCTCTTCACTGTGAATAATAAGATAAACAATTTTTAATGTAATTGGACCTTGTATCCGTATGAATTATATAAATAAAAAAATATCAGAAGTTATAATATGGTTATTTTCTATAAATGTTTACCTGAAATTTTAATTAGGGGCAGTCTTTTTCAATTTTATTTCAGAAATGTGTTCTTTATTATATCTTATTTTAAAATGTCTGTTTGTCTTAAAAAAAAAAAAAATAAAAATAAAAAATTTAACATCTTTGTAAAACCATAAGTTTCTTGGCTCCATAAAAAAAAATTCATTAACCTATTAAAGAAAAAATAATGTTGCTAACTATTGTTGTATGAAATATCAAAATAATATGTTTAACAAACTCGCTAAAATCCTGAACAATAATACAAATAATGTAAAAATCACTTTTAAAACTAATAATAATTTAATCTAACATATAAACAATAGAACTAAAAACTTCCCCCTTCTTTTGAAAATGCTGGTAAATATAAACTTTAATGTAAATGTAATAAATTTTATACAGGTAGGACAAATAGAAAAGTTAATAACAATTTATATATTACATAATCCAGAAAGAAGAAATTTATGTGCAACTTTGAACAAACAAATTAAACTTCAACTGTTTGCATTGTTACAACTTCAAGAAAATTGACTCAAATTTTGTTTTTATAACATTCAAACTAATTCAGTGCAAGTTGTTTTATAATTTTAAAATTACTTTGAAAAATATAAAAAACCATATAGGTTCAAAATCACAAAACAAATTAAACATCTTAAAACATTAAAAATCATAAGCTTACTTAACATATAGATTTATTTTGTATTATTATTTGTTTAATTGTATAATAAAGTAGGTACTCTTTATTTTTATAATTAAAATCATTTTAATTATATTTAAAGGATACATTAATATTGTTTTATATTTATTTATATAAATGTACAAACCTCAATTTTTTGTAATTAAATTCTGTGCTTGAAGATTACTAAGGTGCAAAAATATTTGGTAAAAAGATCAACAACATTATTGATATCTACCAAGGTAACTGCGGTTTTGCATCATTGTCATTATCACTTATAATTATAAAATATTATTTTATACTCAAAACATTTTTAAGCAAAAAAATATGGTTTTTATTAGTTTACATGTGATGACTGCATAAGGAAAATTTTTAAAAACTGATGAATATTTAATGATCAACAATTTTGTATTTTATATAAAAGCTATGAAGTAAAAATTCCGGATAACAATGTTTAAAAAAAAAATAACCAAAAGGCAATTTCACATAATTCAAATTACTTAACTTATGTATTACAAAATTAAGAAAATAGAAATACATACCTAAATAATTTTGTGACCTATTCAATGATACAAATTATAATATTGATATTTCAATATTTGATAGATATCACCAAGCTTTTTAAACATAAAAACGATTTTTGATAATGCGACACTAGTGTCTTGAATCCAAACTAAATTATTTGGAATCCAAATTTTACATTTTATGAGCGTTGTAATATTACTATTCAGTGGGCTATATAGTGTATATTTAATCTATGATGCCTTTTAAAGACTGCATAGGTGTAACTAGAGGGGTTGTGGAAGCTAAGTCCCTCCAGTTTTCCAAATAGCCCCCCTCTCAGTTATGACAAATATTATAGTTAGATATATTAATCTTTTATAATCATTTATTATATTTGTTTTTATGGCTACAATAATATAATATAATATAATATTTTCAAATTAAGCAAATAAATTTGTTTGAGGCTATAGCCCCCCAGAATTTTTTAGCTTAGTTGTGCCTTTGTTAAAGAGAAAATACATATAACAAATTCACTATCTTGTATAGTTTTATATAATGAGTTGGCTTTTGATGAAGTAGATGTATCATGTCATGTAGAAATTTCAGTTAAACTTTTCAATATAAAGAGAAGGTCATTTATAAATTTCAATACAGAATCATGTTTCTCATTCAGCAAATTATGCAGTGACTAGTTAGCTGGTATTCCAAATGTTTTATTAAAATACAATATCTTTAAGCTGAAACATTGAAAAACTTTATTATTTCTTGTATCGTTCCAATAGTGTTTCTTATATTTTAAACCTTATTTGATCTAGATAAATTATTATTCAATGCATGATTTAAACATAGATATTTCATAGTATTCTTGGTAGATTTTTGTATAGTAACAGTTGCTCCACATATAGTAGATATATTAACACTACAGCCATCACAACCAATTCCTATTTCTACAGAAGATAGTCCCACACTTTTCTACTATTTTACAACTGTTGAGCCAAGTATTTCTCATGTTATAGTTGGTTCTGATTCTTGTAAACTTAATGTATCATTTTCATTATTTATATTAAAATCAAGAGCATCTGCACTATAATTGTTCTTATGAAGATCAACAAAACCAATAAAATCTTCTCCGACTGTATTTTCATAAATATATCTAATTGATATACTAAGTTGAGATTTATGAGATATATTAGTTGTTTTATCAAATAAAACACAGTAATAATTTGCTTTGTATATTCTTTTTAATAAAATAGAAAGAACTTCATTGCCACAATAATTTACTAATTTCCCAAAACTTTATTTCCACTATCTATTTGAAATCTTAATAATGAACAAAAATTTCCTTCATTTGCCACAGGACTATGACTATCATTTGGATTAAGTAATGAACCATCATCCCAATGGCCTCTTATAGGTATATTCTGTTGTACATGTAAAATTAAAGTTTTTATTATTAGAACAAGTCTCTCTCTATTTTCAATAACCTGTTGTTTATTTAAAGTCTCAACCTGATTTCAAATATTGTATCTATATAAATCATTAATTTCGTGTATGTGATCTATATAATTACCAATATCATAACTTCCCAATAAAGTAGTAGTATCATCGTTATTATCAATAATACATGACAAGTCTGTTGAGCTAGTGAAGTAGAAGTCAACAAGTCATTGAATGGCAGGGCATAGTATAATACAGGCATACACAAACTTAATGTTGAAGTATCTACTTCTTCTATTTGTCTGATACTTTACTTTTATAAGCTTCATGTAGCTTTATTTTATTTTTTTTTATAACAAATTTGTCCAATAATGATTGGTTATATCTGTTAAAAGTAATATATATTACAAATAGAAAACATACAATTTTATAAAATACTATTATTATAATTTGAATGAAATAATTCAAAATTATTGATCATACAATATAGATTAAAATGTCACATGGGTGATCTATGAAACTATTCAGTAATACCTATTATATTATCACTAAAATTATATATAAAATAAAAAAAAAATAAATGTATTGAATGATTACATAAAATTATAAACATTATAAGATTATAAGGTATCTAGGTCCTACTCAATAAGCACTGATGTTTCTTTTGTAATAATTATTATATATAATATATTTTAATTATAAATATGTATTAATGAGAACTATTGAGAAGTAGTAGCCGGTTAAATACTTACAGTTCAAAAATAATTCAATCTGCATTCAATTAATCATGACATAGTACAGTCAATACTGAATAACGAAGCAAAACAATACAAGTACAAAACATGAAATGAAAACCCCTCTAAAAAAAACCCTCTGTATGCTCGGTCGTGGCGGCAGCCTACTGCCTACTACGAGGCGCAACAACGATCGCTGAACACCTCCGTCTAATCATAGATCACGATGGCTCACTCAGCATACATGCGCGGAAGCGGGTCAACTTACGGTGAATAGAGTACAGTGATAATGAACTGTTGTAATTGTATTGTACGATTAAAATAATTGTAATCTGATGACGATTATAATATTACATATGATAAGGACGATAATAGCGTGCCGAATGTACAGTGTGCTGCGCGTCGTTATCTGAAAATAGTTTGAATGTAATATTTATTTTTAGGTTTAATATAAATATTAACCACAATAATATCAAAAGTAAACATATAGAAACAAGTAATAACCGTCGGCCGAAGGTTCGGGATATAAAAATACATCTTATGCTCTCACACAATTATTTTTTGAAAACATTTTTTTTAACCAAATGATGGCCGAAGGGGTGGTGCTCCCCCCCTGGATCCACCATTGTAAGCTGTATTAGTTGTCTCGTGTCATTTTCAGTTTGAAGTAAAATATTTGTTTTTCGCTATGGAAATTATTTTATTAAACAAAAATAAAGATAAATGTTGTTGGATAGGTCACATATACCTATATGTAATAAAATTATTAGATTTACAGATCGGGCCGGTCCTACTATGACTTTAATATAAACTATTGCATAATAGCATCCTTCCCCATCTCATAAAATAATCCTAGATCCGCCACTGATTCTGAGCAAAATTCACTTATATCTACACATTTTAAAATGCTGTGATTTTTACGACTTTCGTTAAAATTTGATTTTAAAACTCTTATATAAAAAAAAAAAAAAAACTACTAAATTACTCTCAATTTTTTTGTTTACCATTAAATATAACTATAAATGAAACTAGAATTTCAAGCATTTCTATATGGTTAAACAATTTTGTTCATATTTTATCTGCCAAAGAAAAAACTGAAAAGTAAAATGCATATAAATAGCATGCAAATCAGCAGAATAATTAGGAAAATTTGACAACGTCTAGTAATTTAACAAAATACCTGAATAACAAATTTATTACATGGGTATAATCAATATTTAAATTATTATATATACTTTACAACAATCATTTCACAGAATGGAAATCTATATTATTCTGATATTTTTTTTATTTATAAAATTTATACGGACAGATGGTCCAACTATAATAAAAATTGTTTATTTTATTATTCACAGTTATGAGCTAAATTTACATTACTTTTAAATTCTCAAAAACTATTAACAAAAGGATCAATATTGTACCCATTAGCTTTACTTATTAAACAATGAATTGGTGCATTTTCTACTAATTAATTACTTCCTAAAGATGAATAAAACAAATTGACATTTCTTAAATTAATTGTAAGATCCATACATAATAATTGAATGTCCTGAATATAATAATTCAGGACATTCAATTAAATTATTAAGTAATTTATATAAGAAAAATATATCTAATTTTTTTCTTCTTATCTCTAAAGTATTTAAACTTGATATAGGTACTAAATAATGGCTCATCAGATGTGTGTGTCTCTCTATATATACTACAATTAATGGAGACAAATCTTAAAAATCTTATTTATACAGACTTAGAAATATTAAATGCCCAAAACAACATTTACATTAATTCATTCTTAGATGAATTACACATCCACAATAAAATAAAGAAAAATAATTTTAATAATAATATCTTATATGAATAAATTTAGATAGTAAATAATAATCAAATAATTTATATTTTTTAACATATCTATGTTTAATAATTTTAAATAATCTCTCCTAATAAAATTAATTAATTCAAAGTAAATCGACCAATTTCTCTATGTATTCCTTCATTTAATTTTTCATATTTAGTCGCGTTTGACGTTTTGACTTTATGATTTAGTATGATGATTAATTTGTAATTTGAAACCGGTCATATAATACACATATCATAATACTTTAGGCGATACATTTATTTATTTAAATATTTAATACATTTGTTTGATATTAAAGTTTGATAGACTTGTATTGTATTAGGCAGGTCTTGATAAAATAAATTTCTTATTAAATTATTACTATACAATTTATTTCCCAAATAAATTATTATTAAACAAATAGTTATGTTTCAATAAACCATATTGTCAATTCTAACTACATCATTATTAATAGACGTAATATTATACATAATAATATGATAAATTAATGCTTTAATGTTATTACAAATATATAAAGAATAATTTTTTAAAAAAAAAAATAGTTATAATTTGTATACAGTTTATTTAGATATTATAGATTATAATAATAGTTTAGTTAGAACTATACCATTTCTATTTAGTATTGTTCATCAATATCATTGATTATGCAATAGACAGATAGCTCATTCAATGCTATATTAAAATACCATCCATGGAATGTAATGTTAGAAATAATTGTCACTGAATCTTCATTGATATTTTAAACATAAATTATTGTAATGATTATAATTATTATAATTATTTTAATTATTAAAATAAATAAATAAATGAATACTTATTATTTTAATACGTAATACATTAATATTAAAGAAATCTTTAAAAAGACCAACATTTTAAATTTATATTTAGTTAACTTAATATATAGTAATTAAAAATCATTGTTATTTTAAACATTAACTATTATAATAATTAAAATACTTATGTGATTTATGGAGGTTAATAATTTTGTATAGGAGCTAAATAATACTTTAATTGGTTAAGGTGGAATTATTTTGATTGTATCTTCAGATTTAGTTTTTGTTTGATCTTCATTGTCATCATTTTCTTAATTTCCATCACTTTTATTAGCTGCTGTGTCCTCTTCATCAACTTTTTGCCGTTGAACTCTTTTTGGTCGAGGTGGGGTTATTTCGCTTGTATCTTTAGATGTGCCAGTATCAGATGCTGACTGTATCAAACTATTATTAGTATTAGTCAAGTTCATTATTTTACGCTTGCGCTCAGGTTCTTCTTTGGGCTTCTCATCTTTTGGATAAATTCTTGATTTTTCTTCAAATTCAAAAATGAGTTCATCGCAGTCTAAGTGGCTTACAGGTTCCCAAGAATTATCTTTGTCAGTGTAATTTTTCCATTTTAACAGGTACTCAATTTTTTTATTTTTCAACCGTTTACCTAAAACTCGTTCAACAATATATTCTCCTTCCTTAGAATTTGATTCTCCAGCTGAATTTTTCTTATGGACATTTCTCCTCGGTCTATAAATAAAAACAAAATATATTTTTATATAAATTTAGAAATAAAAATGGTACACATCGTAAATTTGTTTATATAATAAATGTAAAACCATTCATATAAGAATTCATTATTAACAATGGTACATAATATTTCAAAATTATAAAATTCATTGAACACAATAAATTCCTTTAAAAGGGATCTGTGAACTGTAAATTGGAAAGCGCAAGATGGAAGCATTTTTGCTACATTGTAGATGCTAGTATGGTTTTCAAAGCCATACATGAAAATAACCTAATCTACTCACTTAATTTAACTTCTAGTGTTAGGTGTTTAAAAACAAAGTAAAACAAGGGAGAAAATATATTCACAGCTCATAGACATACCATAGTAATCATCATTTTTAATAATTATTAAAAATTATAATACTAAAAAATAATTACAAAACATTAGTAATATTAAGTACTCTTTAACGAATTCCAGATAAAAGAACAATAAAAACAATTTAATATAGGGGAGACTAGTAACAGAGTTGACATGTCTATATTTTGTGATTCAATTTGTTTTGCTAAAACTAATGGCATAGCATGTTAGTAAATTATTGTAAAAATTTGTCCAAAGAGAGAAATTGATACTCTGATAATATTATACGACCTTATTGCATATTTTGTTTTTTTTTTTAGCCTGTCTGATATAAATTATAGCCAACTGCATACAAAATTTTAGTTATTCAAATAAAATTTGTGCATTGTGTTTTATTTTGATATGAGGAGAACAATTCAATAGATATATCTATAGTACAGTGGTAAAACTAAATGCTTGAATTTTATATTTTTGTGTAGATTTCCTATTTATTTTTTTCTATTTGAGGATACATGGGCAATGTGACTGATGTAACGTCATCACTTTTTACATACATCCGAGAAAAATGCATAGAAATAGAAGGCAAAAAGAAAAAACAATAAATAGAACAAAAGTGAAAATACAAAAAAATAGTAAATAAAAGGCAGCAGTGTAAGAATTAACATTCTTCACTAAACCTTAAGATTTAAAGATGAACAAGTTTGCATTCAATTAATAAAAAAGAAGACATAAATAAATATGCATTTGTGAAAGTTTTTACTGAGGAAAATAAAATAATTTATTATTTAATTTGTACAATTTTGGTCAAGTGCCAAGAAAGATTTTATCGACATATTAAAAAAAAAAAAAATGTAACAAATATTTTTTAACAGATGAATCATCTATCCCACATACTCATGATAGAAATATAAAGGACACGCATGTGCTAACTCTTTATTATTATTTGATTATGAGGACTTTGATAACTATAAGGTCATTTTATAATAAACAAATAAATAAATATTATTATTATTACAAAGTAATTTATCAAAATTAAAAGGTAATACACAATTCATATTTCTTAATATTTTTTGGTGATGTCCATTATACCCCTAACTCCCTAGGTAATATCTACAGACCACAGTATCCGCAGGTACAGAGATACTATGGACAAAGCTAAGTTTAAATTTGTGACTGGATTCTGGAAAACTGTGTTATTTTAAAAGCTAATATAAAGGGAAATAATTTTAAGCTACCTGTGTTAGATTCAAGAAAGAAAGAAAACAGCGTCTAAACCATCCCTAGTCTCCTACTGAGAACAAATTTGTCTAATTATATTAAAAAAGTCTCTATTTTCTAAAATGCATGGTAGATAATCGTCTAATAAGTTATATCTATCAACTAAAATGTATTATACTAAATGTGTTGTTGGTAATTGATGAATTTTCATCTCATTGTATGAAACATTAAGATACAATTTTAATTATGTAAGAGAGAAAAATTGTGAGTTCCAAAAATCATAAATATTGGATAGTGGCAGATTTCCAAAATCATTTTTTTTTCTGTAGGTTTAGGTCCCCTCCCCCAGTAAATCCCGCACTGATATCAGGTATTGAGATGTGTAGATTTTAGGTAGATGCAAAAAAATCAATAAATCTTCAGTAACAGAAGTGACACACAAAGTTTTTTAGACTAAATATTGGTTAATCACGTGTTTCAAATTTATAAGTGGCCAATAAAATATCAAATTGATTGGTCTCAATTTGTTATCGAGTGCATAGAAATATTAAATTTTATATTAG